CACTCGACCAAAACCCCAAAGCCATTTAGTAGAGAAATACACGGGGTCCATTTAGTAGAGAAAATCAACATTCAACACATATGACTCATATGACTGATCCCATGACCATCCATTTAGTAGAGGCAGCACTTGGCTAAACAGGGGAAATCTTGATAGATTTTGGACATTTTGGGACTACAAAATGGTGTTCCATAGCACGTAAGGGATAATAGGGCACACAAGGATGCAACAGGGCTTTGTTTGAAACAGTTCTAGATAGACTGATCCCATGACCATCCATTTAGTAAGCACCCGACGAGCAAGAAACACCCAAGCGAGGGATTTGGCATCGCCCCCAAAAAAGGCAAAAAAAGAACCCAAACACGAAAGGCAGTACCCGACGAGCAAGAAACACCCAAGCGAGGGATTTGGCATCGCCCCCAAAAAAGGCAAGGCAGCACTTGGCTAGACAGGGGAAATCTTGATAGAATTTGGACATTTTGGGACTACAAAATGGTGTTCCATAGCACGTAAGGGATAATAGGGCACACAAGGATGCAACAGGGCTTTGTTTGAAACAGCTCTAGATAGACTGATCCCATGACCATCCATTTAGTAGAGGCAGCACTTGGCTAGACTGGAGGCGGCATGGCAGGATACCGCAAGGATGCTATCTTTGTCCAACTTGTGTTGTTTCATATCGCGGTATACCCGATCATGTTGATTTACTTCAACCCAGGAATATCTTTGATATTCATTGGCATTCTAGAATTTATATTTATTTTTCAAGTTTCTTATTTTTTTGAGCATCTATTATCATATACTATCTGGATTTACGTGATTCATCCTGATGGACATGGATAGGCCAAACGGCTATCGGGGGCAACGGAATGGGAATCTCTACTAAATGGTTTTTCAGTTTTGTCTCATTTCACTGTGACCGTTTTATGAACTCTACTTCGCAACCTCTACAAAATGGTTCCTGTGATTTTGCAACATTTTTTTGACATCTCTACTAAATGGTTTTACCCAAAAAACAACATTTGACATCATATGATTAACATATCATTTTTACCTCTCTACTAAATGTGGATCATGGGTCTAGAGATGTTTACTTGCTTTTTTTTTTGTTGAAAAATCATGATTCTCTACTAAATGGTTTCTAGAAATTTCACACTAAATTTTTGGTTCACTTTCCGGGACCTAGGTCATAGCATTTAGTAGTGGAAATTGGCAGGAGGATAGAAAGATTAGATAGGTTAGGTTAGATAGATTAAATAGATTAGATAATTAGATAAGATAAGACAAGATAAAACAAGATAAAATAAAGCGAGATAAGATTAGATTAAATTAGGTTAGATTAGATTATATAGGTTAGATTCGGTTAGGTTAGATTATATAGATAGATAGGTAAAGCATGGTAAAGCATGGTAAAGCCACAAAAGCCACACACCCACAAAAGCCACAAAAGCCAGGCTGGAAAACAAAAAAATAAAAATTAAAAAAATAGCCCTCCTTTTTAACATCTCAACTTCCAAAAGTACTCCGAAGCTGAAGCGTTTTGCGCACTTTTGCTTCGAAAACCTTAGAAATGTGCTTCGCGCCACAGCGGCGTGCAATTTTTGACCTCTCACGTGCCCAGATGGCTCCGCACCCGCTGCTTTCGCGAGCCTACTTTTGGAACCTCCTGGGCCATAAAACATCGAAAACACACAGCGTTTCGCAACTTTTCTACGTTTTCGCGCACCTGCATCTTCCTTCTGACTCTTTCTCTTTTACTGACCTTTCTGACCTTTCTCTTCTCCGACTGCTCTCACCACATTGTCCATATTGTCGGAAGTTTGACTTCTAATTTTCCTTCGGTCATGTAATTGTGTGTGCAGTTGTTCTATGTTGTTCTTCTTAAAAAATTAAAAAAATATACGGTACAACATGTTTTGCCTGGGAGGTGACTGAGACATACTGAGACCACAGCTGAAGTGCCAAAGCCTGCATCTGCTGTGGACCTTGAAGAAGGAATGTGAAGGAAAGTCGTTTTTCCCGCTCAACGGCAGGATGCAAGAATTTGCTCAAGGCATGACAAAGACTCAGCGACACGGGTGCAGCATGGTGCAGCAAAGATCAGCAAAGTGTCCCCGCAGTCTGGGCCATGCGTCCTTTTTGACGTCTGTGGATGTTCAGCTGTCTGCAAGTACCAGCTACTGCACCAAGGTTGGGTTCACAAAGCTGATGGCAAACTGGTTCACGGGCAAGCCACCGTGAGTGTGCACAACTGGCTCTTCGCATTGTTGCTGAGGGCAACTCACAGCTGGTTGCCAGCCATCGGCATTGGTCTCAATGTTGCTGCCGGAGACTGCAAACTTCTGAGCAAGCTTCTCGAAAATCTGCACCTCGCGTGTCACCTGCTCTTCCTTGCTTCCCTTTCGGTGAGCTGCCTCAGAGGCAGCGCCAAAGCCGAAATGCACCTCCATGTCCAAAGTACGAATCTTCTGCATGTCTGCCTTGTTGTCCAACAAATCCTCCAGCACTGACCACTCAGAGCCTTCCACATCGATCTTCACATGAGTTGAGAGAGCAACTCTCTTGGAGAGCAGATTGGACAAAGAGTTGTATTTTCGTCCCTGCACCGTCTCCTCCCTCGGTCCAAGGCAGGTACGGAATGCATCGTAATGAGTCTCGTAGCAGTGGTGCGGGTTGCCTTCACAAGAACCAGCTGCATTTGGAGCTATCATAGCCAAAGCAGGTGAAGATTTCGGATCTTGAAAGCAGTCAAACAGCATGGTTGGCATGTGGAATGCATTGCTCATCGTCTCACTCCACAAATCACGTTGCTCGATTCCAAAAGACAATCCTTGAGATGAAGACTCCCCTTCAAATGCAGCCATGCACCAAGCAGAGTCACCAAAGAGCTTGAATCCCTTGCAGCGCTTCTCAGTCACAGAAGTTGATGGCTTTGCTGCCATCAAAATGCGCTCTCCAAGTTCAATACTCCATGATTGGTTGGTCTTGTAGGGCCACATATCTGCAGATGGTAGGCATGGGACACCTGTGCGGGAGGACTGAGGGCATTGGGGTGCACAAGCAGGCTTGCACATCCTTGTTGCGCCAAATCGCTTGGTTGGCTCTTGCAGGTCTTGGACTTTGATAGCCAGTCCCACTGACACAAGAGCAGCGATGACCTTCATTCTGAGCTGATGGCAGCAGGCGATAACAGGCGCACTGAGCGAACTGCGAGAGCTGGAAAGCTTCGTTGGGGTGTTGCAACTCTTGAGCCGCAAGCTATGTCAGCTATGTGAAAGCCAGATGTGAAAATGAAACTGCCTTGGGCGTCCATGTGCATCCATGTGTCTGTTGGCACTGTGACTCGTTTGCGTGTGTGTCCTTTCAGTTTTGTGTCGCAAGCATTCTGTAGAGCCCCAGAATCCGACAAACAATATGAAGATTAAAGCAACAATTATATAATGTAAAGGTAAATGTAAACAGGAAAGCTGTCGGCGCTGCAACCTGGTCAAGACCAGAGCGGGCATTTTCAAACGTCTGTGGATGTTCAGCTGTCTGCAAGTACCAGCTACTGCACCAAGGTTGGGTTCACAAAGCTGATGGCAAACTGGTTCACGGGCAAGCCACCGTGAGTGTGCACAACTGGCTCTTCGCATTGTTGCTGAGGGCAACTCACAGCTGGTTGCCAGCCATCGGCATTGGTCTCAATGTTGCTGCCGGAGACTGCAAACTTCTGAGCAAGCTTCTCGAAAATCTGCACCTCGCGTGTCACCTGCTCTTCCTTGCTTCCCTTTCGGTGAGCTGCCTCAGAGGCAGCGCCAAAGCCGAAATGCACCTCCATGTCCAAAGTACGAATCTTCTGCATGTCTGCCTTGTTGTCCAACAAATCCTCCAGCACTGACCACTCAGAGCCTTCCACATCGATCTTCACATGAGTTGAGAGAGCAACTCTCTTGGAGAGCAGATTGGACAAAGAGTTGTATTTTCGTCCCTGCACCGTCTCCTCCCTCGGTCCAAGGCAAGTACGGAATGCATCGTAATGAGTCTCGTAGCAGTGGTGCGGGTTGCCTTCACAAGAACCAGCTGCATTTGGAGCTATCATAGCCAAAGCAGGTGAAGATTTCGGATCTTGAAAGCAGTCAAACAGCATGGTTGGCATGTGGAATGCATTGCTCATCGTCTCACTCCACAAATCACGTTGCTCGATTCCAAAAGACAATCCTTGAGATGAAGACTCCCCTTCAAATGCAGCCATGCACCAAGCAGAGTCACCAAAGAGCTTGAATCCCTTGCAGCGCTTCTCAGTCACAGAAGTTGATGGCTTTGCTGCCATCAAAATGCGCTCTCCAAGTTCAATACTCCATGATTGGTTGGTCTTGTAGGGCCACATATCTGCAGATGGTAGGCATGGGACACCTGTGCGGGAGGACTGAGGGCATTGGGGTGCACAAGCAGGCTTGCACATCCTTGTTGCGCCAAATCGCTTGGTTGGCTCTTGCAGGTCTTGGACTTTGATAGCCAGTCCCACTGACACAAGAGCAGTGATGACCTTCATTCTGAGCTGATGGCAACAGGCGATAACAGGCGCACTGAGCGAACTGCGAGAGCTGGAAAGCTTCGTTGGGGTGTTGCAACTCTTGAGCCGCAAGCTATGTCAGCTATGTGAAAGCCAGATGTGAAAATGAAACTGCCATGGGCGTCCATGTGCATCCATGTGTCTGTGCCAAGATTCCTGAAAAAGCACCTATGCCACTTGTCTGCTGGCAATGTGTCTCTACTTTTGTTTCCCGTCAACCTTGAGCATTATTGCAGAGTTTTTCATCACTCAATTTGTTCTACCCAACAATTAGCTGGCTGAGCCAAAGACTCATGTTAGTGCCGAAGCGCTCGCTTGCTTCCCCAACCTGCTTGAAATCGACGGTTGTCAATTGCACAAATAAAGACATGGAGAAAACAAAAGTTTGGAGCCAAAGTCACCCATGCGGACAGCTACAGTGCTGCAGTACGCCTTTTTCTTTTTTTCAGTTTCTCTCTCTCTCTCTCTCTCTCCCTCTCTTGCATTTTCGCTCCGCTGGTCTGCGGGTCTGTCCCGATATCGTCTTGATGTCGAGCAGGAAACGCTGACGAACACCTTGATTGGCAGAATTTCAGTGGCAGGGCGAGGAATATGCTGCCAAAATACTGGAGTATTGCTTCAAGCATCCTGAAATGGATATATAGCGGGATCTAGCAAGCTAGTTCTTCCCTGCTCCTGGTTGCTTTGCTCTTTCCCACCTCGGCCTTTTGCATCCTTTTGAAGCTCAAATCCATTGAGCCATTGAACTATCAAGAATTGGAGTTTCCTTGCCCAATCCAGGGCCCCTTTAAGTCGTGGTGTCAACAGAAAATAACAATAAACAACCCTCCAATTAGATCACTGAGGCCAGCCTAGAAAGAACTCCTTTCTTATCTTTCTTGATTCAAACGCGAACACACACACCAAAAAAAAAGTGCGAACAAAATCGCATTCCGTTCCTGTGGCCTTTTCGGGTCTCAACCGCTTCCGAGTTTTGTTTGCCCAGCTGCCTGCCAGCAAGCGAACCGAATCATGTTGGCTTCTCAACGCTGAGGCCACGTAACCTTGCGGACTTTTGCAGCAAATCAGATGCGTGGTCATGCCCAATTTCTCATGGCTTCTCATGGTTTACCTCTCTCTCTGCGGCAAGGCTGCTGTAGGTCACTGCTGTCGGCTGCAGCTGTTCTGCACTCGCCCAAAGCCACAGTAACGCTTTCTGGGCACCAGGGGCGCCAGAAAAGCTGCAAACTTTCATCGCCTGATTTCTGCAGACAGCACACCGTATGAAGCTTTGGGATTGAAGGCCAATGATGGAGAGAGAATCGTCCACGCAATAATATGCAACAATCGCTGTCATTGAGCCATGCCAAGCTCTAACGGTGTGTGATATCCCCGTGTTGGGGAAAGCACCAAAAGCCTGCAGGGAAAAAACGTCACAGGCACCCCAAACATCTCAGCCAAGATGCAGTGTTCAGTGCAACAATCGAGCTCTGAAGCATGCGTTGACCTACAAGAACGTTGTTGAAGTCCAGAGGTGGAGGGCTGAAGGGCTGGGAGCGGACCAAACATGTACATCCGGATTACATCGTGAGCTCAAAGTAATGGGTTTCAAAATGTCTCAAACACGCTCTGCCGACACAATAGGCTCGACTGGCGCACTGAGGCTCCAAGCCACGAATAATCCGGATAGCAGCCTCCCACTGGCCTGTAAAAGCCTCCAGCACCTCAACTGAAGCGCTGTTATGAACGTATAAAGAACGTATCTGCAGGAAGCGCTGGCAATTACTGCGACATGCCACCTGCAAGTCAGACATGCCGGTATACTTCTTAGACATTGTAACATGTGAATGTGCATCACACAGGCTATGTGTATTGAAGGCAAAAACTTAACTTGCCAACATAGATGTATAGACTGGGTGTATATTAAAAAATAATATATATACTGTTAACTGTTATATCTTTAACATTATATACGCGCAAAAAACACATATTCATCTCCTGCATCTATTTATTCTTGTTTGTGGACGTGATGCTTACCATGTCGTGTGACAATATGTACACACTCACACATATGTATAATTAAATTAGATATAATTATATATAATTAAAATATACTTATATATATAATATGCAGCATGCAAAAATAAATGTGTAAGGTTATGTAAGGTTCTATGCTTATGTGCATGCACAAATCACAATACATAATGGTATAAATGCATGCACACACACAATACACATGCAATCAGTACGTTGCAGGCACTTGAGTGATGCAAACAGGGCTAACATCAAGTCCTGACAAAGAACTGAGCTGAACGTGACTTCTGTTGCCACGATTCGCTGGAGCTGACAATGCTGCAGAAGCTTCAATGCGATACTCCATGAAGCCACTCCTGGAGCGAACGATTGTGGGTCAGAGGTGAAAAGGATAAGGTGGAACTGCACACCATTTGGAGAACCTAATCCTGGCTGAACTAAATGAGACTATATATATATATATAAATGAAGAGTGGAGAGCTGCAACAACTTGATTGCCAAGGCAAATAAATCAAAATCACAAGCAAAGAGTCAACCGTGATTTCCTCCCGCATGACAAGCTGCGCTTATAGCCGCGCTGCACCTGTGAGTGACACTGATTCGGATGCTCTTATTTCAGGATAGATTGACACTTTAGTGTCTGAAGATGGCCAGGTATATCCACGTACGCCCAAACTGCTTGGAAAGGTACCTAGCTGCACCTAGCTTGTGGTCATGACATGGTGCAACCCCCCAGGAAAGTATCAGCAAGTTGGCTTCATCTTCTGGAGCTGAAGCTGAACACACAAATTGCACGCCAAGACCATAGGAAAAAGGATGAAAAAGGATGATTCTGATGTGGCATATCATGGCATAGCACGGCATAGCGGTATATCTCTAATCTCCCTCTCTATAGATGTATTCATAATTACCCATACCAGAAATCATATGCATCATATGCATATATCTCTGCGTGGTGTATATCTCATTCATTGTAAGTAAGAAAGGATGCCGAATAGGACCCGCCAACATGCAACCCACAAGCATGCATCATATGCCTACTGTATAGTTATATATATATATATATGTCAGATAGTATCTACTGTGCAGAACATCACATCGCCCCGCATCGCATCACATTTCATCATGTCATGTCATATTGCATCATATCGATCATATCATATTGCATTGCACCAAAGCACACATTTCATCAATCTGAGATGCCGTCCGTTTGTCATCGGATGTCATCGATCCTGTTCCTTCTTTAAACCATTTCTCACACTTGTCCCTCCCGCCGCTATCTGCTCCGCACCCAACGACATTGCAGCTGAAAGGCTGGAACGTTCTCTCCTTCAGGGTGCCAGGCTGATGATCATCTGATGATCTATGACTCTAGAATGATGGGATCAAGCATAACAATATTGTTTTAATATATTTTGATATGGTGTATTCTGATGTATTCGGCATCCTATTTTCTCAATGTGGAGAAATATCAAAAATGACCCAAGCTGCAACCCAAGTGGAAGGAGAAGTGATTTCAGCAATTGATCAGCTGGCATGGCATGACATGGCTCGGCGACCCTACTGCTAAACAACATCGGGCAGGCACGGCTTAGACGGCTTAGATACTCCTAGAGAAGTCTTAATATGATATATGATATATGTTTAAATCCTCCACACGCTTCTCGCCTCCTCTGTGCCCGCTGAAGCTTGAAAAGCACGCAGTGCCTCTCGCCAAGCGCCACCTTTTTCACATGCCTGAAGCATCAGGTGGGTTCATTCTTCTGCTGAGGAACACATAAGAAAAAACAGGAGCCAAAGTCAAGATGAATGATTTGAATGATGATTGACTATCATTCATGACTGTTGCGATACGTTGATATGTTGTGGTTGTGTTTGATTCTTTCGCACAAGTTTCTATCCTCGCATGTGGGTGCTTCGGTATGGATCTGCCTCCACAAGAAATACAGGCTGGTCGCATCGAACAGCTATACGTAGTTCAACAGTTTTACCGGCGTTGCTCCCAACACCCCAGATAACGAAGTTACATCAATTTACCACCCTTGTGGCTATCATTTTCCTGTAGTAACGCCTGTAGTACATTGGAATAACCCTGTTTACCAGATAACATTCGTCCCATCAGCAGTCTTACCCCGCTAGGTGTGCAATAAGCCCTGGTAGCCATTGCAGCTTTTCAGTCTATGGTCTGATGCTCTCAGAAACACGGGAAAAACCTTGCTCGCAAGAACGTGAGAAAACATGTCCGTGACTCGGTTTGACACTTGTACCTAGACGTGCAATGCAACTCATTGTCCAAGGGACACTGATTGTTGCAGCCCAGCTGACCTTGCTTGAACAGGGAATGCTTCAAGCTGCTCTTGATGCCATGACCACCGTCCACACAAGGTCAAGGGGAGGGCGAGGGACACTCTGAGACCTGAAGAAACATATGTTCCATGCCAGTCCGAGTGCATCTCGGTATTGCTGTACTGTATTGCTTGTTTCCCAGAGTGCTCCTTCTTTTTGGGGGTTGTCTGTGTGCTGACTGATACACTTGTAAAGCACGGCTTCCCTTATGTTCATGGCCGTGTGACCCCGCTGGGCTCCCAGCACCGCGCCCCAGCCGCAAACAAAATATGCTGTGCTGTTAGCCACTGGTGGCTTTTCCTCAGAAACAAAACACAGAAATGGAATGGCAGGGATACGCAGGGATGTTGTGATCTCGGCTTCTTACAGCAGACGCACCGTGTACATCCATATACGGGAAACTACGGGAACACCATGTAACACCAGCTTCATCTATGACCTGCCCTTTTTAGCTTTCCACACGGTGTGATGCCATCCAATGAGGATTTCTGCACTGGAAGCCACGCAAGTACAGAGACCCTAAAGGCTCTAAAGGCACTAAAGGCCCTAAAGGCACTAAAGGCACTAAAGGCGCCAAAATGCCTAAATTTTGTCAAAATGGCTCACTCGAAAGTTTCTAAAGCCTTCAATTTTCTCAAAGTTTCTCAAAGCACAACCACGCCACTGAGCTCAGCAATCCACCACTTACTCCGAAAGATGTACCAAGAGGACGCACCCAATCCGATTGGAAGATCTTGGAAGGTTTGCAATATTTAATCAGTGCAGGGAAACCCTAACATGAAAGATATGAAAGGGACAGGAGGATACATGAGGAACGAAAGATCACAAAAATTCATTGCAGTGCAGCACACATGTTCTCTGAACCCAATCCAAAGCACACAATTTCAAAGAACATCAAAGAAAAAGTGTTGCCATGTGTTGCCGACAAAATGACATGAACAAAGGCTCGCATCAAGCATAACATTGAAAATGGACAAGTCAGAAATCAGAAATGCTGGAAACTTTGAGCGAAATGAACAAGGCACAGCCTTTTTTGCGCGGGGAGCAAAACGATTCCTAAGTTTTAATTCCATGAGATTGGGCGTGAAGGAGACAGTGTCCATAATCCCTTCTCTGCCCAGAGATCTTGGCAATGAGGATCACGGTTCTCATAAGCTGTGCTTAGAAGATTGACCAAGATCACTCATATTCTCCGTGAAATGTAATGCGCAAATTCCTTCCAAGACTCTCACATGCGGAAATTGCTGGATTGAAGGTTGCCGCTTTTAGCGCAACGCCCCTGGGACACGAAGGCTAGGAACAAAAGACACGAGAAATACACTGACTTATACTGTATCTTGTAGCATCAGTCTTCCCGAGTCACACACATAGACACGTATTACTAAACCCCGCCCAAATACTATAGGGTCCATCACGGTCCATCTCTAATTGCGGAAAATTTCAGATTGGCCAATTTGACTTTTAATTGATCCCCTTTAGGAAACAATTTAAAAATGAAACTACCATTTGTGGGCTTTGCCCCCTAATAACAAAAAACTAGTTCACCCTGGGGTGTTTATTATTAGGGTCCGTCCGATTTTTTTAGTCTTTTATATTAGGGTTTTTAATTTCTTATTTGGGCCCGCTTCGAAAACCAATTTTTGGCAATATTTTAATTGCGTTATATAAGGAAATTTAATTGATTTTGAAATCGAACAAACTAGTTCTTATATGTTTTTACCAGTAGTACCGCACAAGGTGGTGGCGGAAGTTTCAAAAATAGGAAACCTATAGGAGAGGTTGGTTGTTGTGAATCAGGGATGGCAGATCGAAGCCACTGATGGACCGAAAGGTGCTTGAGGTCTCCTCTCTTTCTCTCTCTTTCTCTCTCTTTCTCTCTCATTCTCTCTCTTTCTCTCTCTTTCTCTCTCTTTCTCTGACTACCTACCTACCTACCTACCTATCTATCTATCTATCTGTGGAGTGTAGTTGTAGTTATAGTGTTGTGGAGTGTAGTGTAGTGTAATGTAGTGTAGTGGACTGTAGTGTAGCGTAATGTAGTGTAGTGTAGTGTAATTTAGTGTAGTGGAGTGTAGTGGAGTGTAGTGGAGTGTAGTTGTATTTGTAGTGTAGTGGAGTGTAGTGTAGCGTAATGTAGTGAAGTGTAGTGGAAGGTAGCATAGTGTAGTGTAGTGTAATGTAGTGTAGTGTAATGTAGTGTAGTGGAGCGTAGTGGAGTGTAGTTGTGTAGTTGTAGTTGTAGTTGTAGTTGTAGTTGTAGTGTAGTGGAGTGTAGTGTAATGTAGGTGAGTGTAGTGTAGTGTAGTGGAGTGTAGTGTAGTGTAATGTAGTGTAGCGTAGTGAAGCGAAGCGACATCTGAACCTCCAAAAGTGGTCCGAACCCCTAGTGTTTTGAACATTTTGACTTCGAAATGTGCTTCGCGCCACAACAGCGTGCACTTTTTCGACATCTGAACCTCCAAAAGTGGTCCGAACCCCTGGTGTTTTTAACATTTTGACTTCGAAATGTGCTTCGCGCCACAACGGCGTACACTTTTTCGACATCTCAACTGCGGCATCTCAACCTCCAAAAGTGGTCCGAGAATGGTGTGCTTTGTACATTTTGACTTGGAAACGTGCTTCGCGCCACAACGGCGTGCACTTTTTCGACATCTCAAGCGCCAAAAGTGGTCCGCACCCGTAGTGCTTTTAACGTTTTGACTTGGAAATGTGCTTCGCGCCACAACGGCGTGCAATTTTTCATCTCTCCTCTGGCCAGCTGGCTCCGCACCCGCCGCTTTAGCGAGCCTACTTTTCGACCCTCCGGAGCCACAAAATCATTGGAAAAACACAGTGAATCGCGACTTTCCTACCTTTTCGCGCATCTGCATCTTCTTTCTTCTTACTCTTTCTCTTCTACTCTTCTCTCTTCTGATCTTTCTCTTCTCTCTGCCTCTGCCCTACTCTGCTTTTCATCTGTCCATATTGTCGGAAGTTTGACTTCTAAACTTCCTTCGATCATTAAGGTTTTAATTTTATTAATAGGGTCCGCTTCGAAATCCAATTTTTGGCAATATTTTAATTGCGTTATATAAGGAAATTTAATTGATTTTGAAATCGGAAAAAATAGTTTTTATTATTAAGGTTTAATTTTATTAATAGGGTTCCCTAAGAATAAATACCCCCCTATTACTAAAAACTACCTGCGTTTATTAATAGGGGGGCGATTTAGTATTAGGGGGAAAGGATTACAGTACTATGTGTCCATAATACGATAATCATGATATGTTATATATGATATGTTGCACATGTTGTATGCATATGTACATATATACGTATATATAACAATATAATACTATGCTACATACTCAATTTAATAATTACTATAGAATAATTGTATAATACTATAAGGTATTATAAGGTCGACTATCCATCCTTGGCTCTCGGGTGAGCTCTCCAAGGCCTCAAGCAGCTGAACAATTGCAATGCCCACTCCCAGCAAGCCTCCCTCTCCTTAGGTTGCGCAGCCATGACATATATTCGTGACATATCGTGCCATGCTGCACGTGCTTCGCCACAAAAGCACAACATGTGCTGACCGTCTGCTGACTAACTTGGATCGAGATTATGAGGCTTTGTAATCTCACGGATTCTCAAGGTCTAGCAGAGTCTAGCAACTTCAAAGCCAACTCTTTTTCAAAATCGTGATATTCATTGATATTTATGATTGTGACTCCACATGGCGATCTTTGCACATTCGAAGCACCCAGGACTTGATACAGTCCATCATCTCAAGCCCTTTACATCCATTTACCGTGTTCTAGTTCTGCGTCCCCAAAATACTACGAAATTCGAACGAGCATTGAGACCCGTTTAACGGTTTAGCATTGTAGCCCAGTGTCACAGCAGGAGATTGTTGTTCTCCAACAAACAGTGTCTGGTGTCAGAAGCTGTGCGGAGCTCCTTCCAGCAACTGGCACAAACATCCAACAGATTTGTATCCAAACATATCCAAACCGATGAAGGGGTGCTCAGTTCGTTCTTCACTACTTCAGGCACTAAATCTCTTGAGTTTTGATATATATATATATATACATATGTATTTGTCAACATGTTTCAAAACTATTGGGAAGACTATTCAGGCCATTCAGTACATCCGCACAGGACCATCAGAATCCATTATGTGATACAGTATGATGATGTATGATGTGTAGTCGCATTTTGGATCATTTTGGCAGGTCACCTATGGTCACCTTTCGGCTTTTCGGAGTGATTGGGTCGTCGGTTCAACTGCTTCAAGGTGGAGCATTATCACGAAAAAATCTACTGAAGCTGTAAGGACATATCCGCGCAGAAACGGTCTGGAGTTATTACTGTATGTTGTTAAGGACACTTGCAACTTGCAACATCTTTGCAACTGAGCAAGTGCCGATTCGCAGCTCAAAAAACCGCAATTGCCCTTGTTGAGAAAGAAAAGAACCGTTTTGAATGTTTGATGGTCTTGTGCCAGACCCCCACTGTGTTCAGCATTCTTGCTTTGGACAGGCTCTCAGGAGAAGGCAAGTTCAGCAAAGGTATCTCATGATTCTCGTCATATTTCATTTTTAGCCTTTCACCATCCGTCATCATCTATCATCCATCAAATATCATCAAGTTTAATTATTCAGGTTTCATCTGTCTCACCATCTCACATCATCTCACTCACAGTCACCACGGACTAGGGCGGAGACCCTGTCAGAGCAGCCAAAGCTTTCGGCCATGGCAAGGCGCTCAATAAAGAACCCAGCGACACAGTGTCAAGCTCTGTACCTGTGAACGACACGTGAGAGGTGCAAAATGTGCAAATTGAAATCAATTGCGCGTGAGAATGGTGAATATATTGAATATGGTGAAATTGGTGAAGATCCAAACAGCTTGTCTTGCCCTCAGAGACTTGGATCCTTGGTGCCCGAAGAGCCAACAGCTTCCGAATGAAGGCGACTACAAATACGGGCGAAAAGTACCAACATCTATTCAATAGGGGATCAAGTATACAGTATAATCAGTATAGGCACTGCACGTACGGGATGACTAAGTTTTTAAACCACATCAAATTTCACCATACCACCAACTGCCCTCATGTGATGATGAGATCAGTTTGCGTACTCCAGTGCGAGCATCCAGCGAAGAGGAGTTCGGCCCGCGGCCAAGCACCAGCTGCTGCAACTGCACAGTTCCAAGTGGCTGTGGCGGTGTGCCCTAAGCAAACAAGCACAAACAGCATGGACATGAAACCAGCACGCTGCAAACATCAGCAAACAATGAAGTAAAACAAAGCTGCTGAGCTGCTGCCAAAACCCCGATGATTTTGGTTCTACTCGCTATCCTTTCTTTCGCCATTTCTTTTGCGAACCTTTCGCGGTGTGGGTTTTTTCTTTCGTGGCATCCATGTGTCTGAAATCCACTTTTGCGAGCTTTCGCGGAAAACTCTTGAAGAACCCCGTGTGCCCCTGAGCGAAACACATACTCTCTCTTCTGATTCTGATTTTACATGTTTTTTTTCAACGGACCTTATTTCGGAGGAATTATCATCGTGGCAACACATTGGATTGACATGATTGACATTGCATCTGGTGGCCGGTGGCTACAGTAGTGGTTGGTGACCGGTGGCCGGTTGGCCTGTGGTTGGTGGTTGCCGGTTGATTCTTGCAGTCAGCTTTGCGCAAAATTCGCTCGAAAAATCCGCTTATCAACTTTTCCCTAAACAAATTTCTGGGGGGATGTGCCATCCCAGCTAGCCAGGGTTTTCGCGGATCTTTCGCGAAGCTTTTGCAGATTTTCGGGTTATATAGAAATGTGTGAATAATTTTATTGCATGGATCCAGATACATCTGAGGAAGTTATTATATGCATATTATATGCTATTATATGCTATTATCTAAACATATGTTAACCATTTTAACCAGGATTTTGATCTTGAAAATCTCTTTCGCGAGCTTTCGCGGAAGCAAATCTTCGCACAAGTTTTGGCAAATCTTTTGCAAACGTGGTTTTAGCTTTCGCGGAGCCAACTTACAGTGCTTTAACCGACCTTCAAATCACACAAATCACCACGTAAGGACTGAAGGGTTTTGGCGGCTGCTCGGCCCCGGAATCTGTCGGTGAAGCACTGCCACTATGACACATGCGATGCGTGGCTGGTATTCTCGGGTGCAACATGGTGCAACAGGTTCCACCGCCAGAAACTGATGCCTTGAAGCAAACACCTTTGCAGCAGCTGCTGCGTTAGTTGCCAGCGGCCACCAGCTCGAGCACAATTCCTTAGCAACCGTCTAACTTGCGGTTTTACGTTGCGGCACATGCAAGTTCACAGCATCCCTAAATTTTGGTCTTGCCAAACACATGTTCACATGGGGAATTTCGGAGTATCCCAAACTGGCCCCCCTGTCCTGGAATGTTTTTCTACCATGGAATCTATGCGAATAAAACCCAGCATACACTTTCCAAATCTTTCCAACGCAAATATAATAATTCGTCTGAGCTGCATGGCCGCCGTGATATGAAATACATTCACCTCGACGCGCACACGGCCTGAGGGTTGAAGCGGGCGAACGCTTCGTGTTTGATATTTTTTGGTTTTTGAATGCTTGGTAAGTGATGGGTCCAAGGTGCCATTTCGACGGGCAGAGATCTGCAAACACGGCTTTTCTATCGACGCTCCCATATTCTGAAACTGCTACAATCATCCTAAGTACGCACCCTAGCAGCAATTCTTCAATCACCAAAACCCACGGGAACTAAATAGATCATAATAGATCTATGTAAAATGATTTAAATAGGGCAGCCAGTTGCTTCAACCAAGCATCGCATCACCTTCAGGATGGCCAGGACCATGCTCACATGCTGTGACTTCGCCAAGCCTCCCAGGTTTCAAAGTGCACATGGAGTCATGGCACGGAATGTGCAGCCTCCGGGCACCACAATCTTTATCTCCAAACAACAAATATCCACCTCTAATCTCTCTAACCTCAGATGTAGCACTATTGGATCCAGTCGAATCCAACCTATTGTAATCCAGTCCTGTTTGTCTGATCTTATCCATCTACCAACTTTCCCACCGGGTTTGTCGTTGTCTTTGCTGTCGTGGTTGTTTGTGTAAACAAAATAACCCTGGAAGTCCAGGACCTCAAAAAGAACGTCCTTATATGAAAATCCGTAGGAAGTGGGTCAAAAAAGTACGCCCATGCAAAATCCTCATGATGAACCTTTTGAGGTCTTAGACCTACAAAGGAACATTGCTATTAACATCCTGTTGATGTACCTTTTGAGGTCCTAGACCTAAAAAGGAACGTTGCTATAAACATCCTGTTGATGTACCTTTTGAGGTCCTAGACCTAAAAGGAACGTTGCTATATAATTTCCTTAATCGTTAGAAATCGTGAGTTTGCGTGAGTTTTCGTGAGTAGGACTTCAAAAAGTACGTCCATAAGGCCCGAAAAGGTACATAAACGACCTAAAAGGAATCTAAAAGGTACATATAATAGCAGCATATAGCAGCTCTAAAATCGTGAGAAATCATGGGTGAATCGTGAGTGAATCGCGAGTGAACATTGCTAAAAACCCTCGGCCGTAGAACCCATGACATTGCTATAAACCCTCGGCCGTGGAATCCAACAACATTGCTATAAACCCTCGGCCGTAGAACCTCGGCATTGCTATGGTTTCTCGGCGATAATCCTTTTTTGTGCCACTTTCGGCAAGGACTCAGAAAGTACGGCCTTAGGACTTTTAGGGTTATAAGCTAAACTAATTATTGACATTCTCTGGCGGCGACTAGGTCACGGGTCAGCCAGAACCGCTTGTTGCAACTTTTGCTAGCGCTTTGCTAGCGGGGATCTATGGGGATCTAGCATGTAAAAGTTTACGTACAAATTCGGAAAATTGAACAACAGCCTCAAAAATCCAGGAAAATTGCTGAGTGGTACAAAAAGTCAGTAAAACATGCTCAGGGTTCAGGCAGCAAGCAGGCTAGCAATAGGCAATAGTTGATAAATAGTTTCGTGTTGATGCATATTGCAAGGCGAGCCATGGCGAGCCTGTGATGGTCCAGGTAGCCTTCCGTGAGTCGACCAACCATTCTTGGAGATCTCTCTTCAAGGCTCCTGCGCAGAAATTCAGTTAGCCCGGTCATGTTGTGTGACCTCTGTGTTTGTGTGTTAAAGGCCCGGTAACTGCATGGAATTGGCAAGTCAATTCTGTCATTGTAAGCGCCTTCAACTCAGCTTGCCTAACCACTCGGACAACCAGGTGTACCAAGATGTCCACTGCTAATGAACTCTTTTACCTGGTATCGTTTCATGGTGTTTCTACCGTTGTTATTCCAGCACGTGTCAGAAGCGTGGGCATGTCCCTCCACGGCTTGATGTGTCTGGAGCAGCCGCCAACATTAAAAAAAAACAGGGTACGCCACCTCGCCTGTGATCCTGTTCACCAAATGCCTGTGATCTCCAAAGTTCTTCAATACCATATTCATCCCCCATGTATAGCTCGCCTATATTCAGCCTATTCAGCTATAATTCTATATATGTCTATACTATTCATATTGATGAACTGCCTTGAGCAGGTTTACAATGCTTATCTTACATCCCTAGTGCCTTGAACCTGCTGCAGTGTCGGCGTGTGCCCCAGCTTGCGCAGGCGCCCAGCACCCATGCGCCAAAAGTTTGTGAGAACAACATGGACAAAGTCTGTTGGACAAAGTCTGTTGGACAACTCTATTTGTGTGACCAAAGTGTGACAATGGGAAGGGTATCAGAGGGGAATGATAACGTAGAATCGTTGCTGGCATGTATCTCATATACGCCATTTGTTCATCATGGGACTATCATATGGGTACCAACAAAACATAAAATAATAACGTTTATACAATGACGTTTGCAACATGTTTATCACTCTGCAAAGCCTATATGAACGTTGGAGTGGAACGACTTGACCTTGGCGACCTTACTCCTGACATTTGGCCCACAGAGCCCCCCATTTTACATATTTTACATTATTTTACTCCATTATCCTCGTATATCCTCGTGCTGTTTTCCCTCAGAGCCAGAACGGCATTTGGATTTGCCCTGAGCTATTGGAGATCATGGGAGTGTGATATGACTGTGATATGTGGGAGCTGTGTGATATGTGATATGTGAATTTGAATGAATTTGACACTATTGAGTCACTGTTGCAAACTAATCAAACTATTGCACAGTGATAACTTCATTGCGCTCGGTGATGCTCGGTGCCTTCTGCTCCACCATCAGCATGAGTTGGTTGACTCGATCCTGACCAACTCTGATTGTGCCTTTTAAAACTTTTGGATCATTTTGGAAAGTTACAGGCACATGGGCACATGAATTCAAAACATCAACTCTCGGAAAAAAGCCTGTAGACTCACAGTAGACCTATCAAACTTGCAAGTGCAGAGTTTTCAGGCCACCCACTTCGCTGCACGGTAAAAACTTGGCGACATGTCACATCTTGGCAAATCTGGTCCTATTGCGTTGGAGGCCTTGCTATTTCTAGATTTTTCATGATGATTCTAGGAATATTTCTATTTCATGGTATTTCATACCTAGAGCCTCTGTTTTGAGCGCCGGCGTTGCTCTTTTGTGCGCTCGCGCTGTGTTTCTAAGTGATTCAGAGTCAGGAACATGGCACGCTGTTTCTTCATGTTTTTCCTCAGTGCTTCAAACGCCTAAGTGCATGCAGAAAAAATACATTGATCACGGGTCCAGATAAACTTCTGGCTTCTATCTGGTTTTGACTGGTAGCAACTTGCATGTATTGAAATACCTATGCCGCCTATGAATGCCTATTATAATACAGTACTATTATATTATATATTGTCCGCGCGCACCCCAGAAAGCGCAAACACTACCACCGCTGCAGCAGCTCATCGTCAGCACCGTCATCTCCATCTCCATCGCCATCATCTCGATCCCGATCATCATCATCATCATCATCATCATCATCATCATCATGTTCATGCTCATGCAAAGCCGCGAGCACAGCGTGAGGCCACTTTGACCATTGACAGTCCATGCCATATCACGACATGTCACGACTGTCTCATGCTGGTTTCAGGAAAATAAGTTTTTGGCAATTTGCCAATGCGCTGTGTTCACGCTTCGCATCAACGTGCTAAAAACAGTGCGCGGACAGCAGAAGCAAAGAATCTGAAGAAGACTGAATCGTGAAGTTCCAAAATGCAACAACCCTGCTATATGCAGGTATTCGCCTCATATTTGCACATCCATGGTCGAAAGATTGCAAAATACAGTACGACACACCTTCATTGCTATTGCTGTCTGGGTGGATTTCAGACCTGTCAATTCTTCGCCATATCTTTTTAGCATTTTTTAGCCACACCAGGAAACAACGTGCTCCGCGAGTCCGCGTAATGATGTTTCACAATGTCCTATGAGCCTATGACTATGCTTCTAATTATTCATGCAAGTCCACGCAAGGATGTGGGCAATGTAAATGAAGGGATGAATCTTAGGCACTGCTCGAAACATGTGGCATGAAGGAACCGCTTCAGCACTGGACTGGTTTGCTTGAAAACGGTGATTGTGCTACGCTTTGTGTTGAATTTTGGGGTATCCGTGTAGTTTTTCCATTTGTATGCTTCGCATGACGTTGAAAGGGTTGGCACACACACACACATGTTGGCCAGTGCGCAACATCCAAAACCATTGGCTTACTGCATCCATCAGGCCCAGAAATACCAGAATGCGTATGAAACCCACTTAAGCGCATGATACATGCATTTCATGGCTTGTCGCATGCCATTTTCATCTATAATATTTATGTGAATCGGATTGAATCGGATGGCTCCATTTCGTGGCAAAAAATTGTGTCTCTCCCACCTGGGTACACCGGGGATGGCAGCTTCGCCCTTCGCGGTCCTTCACCACACACCTCAAGGAACCAGCGCAGAAACTTGCAGGTGTGATGCCATCATATGACATTATATGACATTATTAATTGATATTATAATATTATATGCTTATATGACTTATATGGCATGATTAATGCATGATATTGCTCTTGTTGTGAATACCTTCCGTCCTTTCAAGTCTTGGACTTGTTTGCACCCTTTGCAGCTGAGATTTGGACGAGGCATGTGTCACCTCGGGCAAAACGGTCTTCTCTGATTGCGGAAGGGATGCCACATTCCCAGGACACATCTTGTAATCGCAACATGGAGTCCAGAGAGGAAAACATCCAAATTTCTCTCACCCATGACCAAGGCCTGCTGATTGCTTTTTGAACCCATGAATCTGTAGAAATGTCGCTTCGCATGTACCTGAAAAAACGTGTCTGCCCAAAAAAAATCTGAATATTTGGGGTAGCCAACGTTTCTGCCTCACCCAGGTGCAATCAAGCTGCCAATGAAAAAATCTTGAAAATCGGCCAACCGCTCTCAAGCAAGAACATCCACCGGACGGCCTGCGAGGTCTGGGCGGAATGCACTGAAAACTGGTGTGTGTGTGTGTGTGATAGGTAGTATGTATATATGCAATCCGATACAATGCGATGCAATATAATTTATATATATATTTATATAACGTAATGTAACATAATGTAACGTAACGTAACGTAATGTAATGTAATATTTTCAGTTTGATGTGATGTGATGCGGTGCGTGCAATGTACAATATGCCTGTAACGTATATGTCGTGTGTAATTTGTGTATTTCTTGTAAATTGGTGTAAACTATGTATATATATATGTATATATATATATATATGGCTTATGTAACTGATGTAACGTAGGTAACGTATGTAATGCATGCTATATGCAATGCAATGCAATGCCATGCCATGTCATGCAATGCAATGTAATGTAATGCAATGTATGCATGCATGCATGTATGTATGAATGTACTGTATATGTATATCCGTATTACATATCTATTTATTTCTATATATATATATATATTCATGAAGCACCCTCTTCAAAACCTACCTTTCACCTTTCAGGCATTTCCTTACAATGCGCTATTTGTTGAACAATGTTGAACATAAGTAGCTTCCATTTCAAGACGTGAAGTCTGCAGTGTTAACCGTGAACCAAAATCAATATTTCAAGGATGCAGCACTCCTGCTCCTTCCAAAAAGAAGCCTCAATGCTGCAGCATGCTTTGAGGGAGGCAGTGTTTTCTTGTGTCCACTCACATTTATTTCATTTTGAAGATGCGGCACTGCTTCAAAAACTTATTTTCCTCTTCAAACAAAAATATTTAATACCAGTCTGCAATACTCCTTTTAAAGAAACTGAGTACGTACATGTACGTACTCATCTCAAAAGCAGGTCATGCTGTTCATTGGGTCATGAGCAAAAGCAAGCACACGCATTGCCCTTTTTCAAACCAATATCTTCTAAAATGCGTTGGTTCCGCAAACACCTGAAAGCTCGGGCCTTGAATAGTGAAAGCCTCGTTGCAATAATGTTTGGCCTCAAGAAAATGCTCATGGAGCTTGAAAGCGAGTCACTGAAATTCAAAATCAAAAGCCTTGACGTAAAATCCGGACCTCCTCACGTCTTTCGCCAAGCAGCTCGTTCCAAAGGGGAGGATCCACTTGGTCTGAAAAGCAGACTGGGTCCACCTCAGTTCGGTTGTCACCTGCCATGTTTGCCATCAACATCCAGCTGCCCTTGGACAACGGTCAAATGAATGTTTGCAAGGTTGGCGCTTCTATAGTTCAAGATGTTCAAGCGAAATGTGGGGAATACAAAGGCTGAGATTTCTACATCCAGTGACTGGTTGCTCGCTGCATGGCCTAACTTGTGAGCTTTCCACCGGCACAACTCAATCCTCTCTTAACCGAGAGCATAGATCTAGGCATAAATTTTGGAAACATAGATTCACTTCCAAAGGCACCCGACAAATTTCATTTGATTCTTGGGATCGGGCGTTCATGCAAATCCTAGTCATGAGCTGCCAAGACCCGGCCATCAAACAAGGACGTGAAAATCCGATGAAAATAGATGAAAATACGATGATCAAGCAGATGTTACACAGCTATATACACCGCTGAACCAAAGTTACCCAACGCTCACAAACCCTCACAAATGACTGGAGATTTGGTTGCGCTATGCTGCACTGACG